ATCGAGATAACTGGCTGGTCTATTTCTTTCTGAAGTTTTTCCATGATTATATGGATTGCCTTGTCTTAGAAGCAAAAACCTATAAAAATATTGGTTTTTGTGGTTTATTTAGAAATAATTCTGAAAATAGTTCTGGTGAAAGAAATCAGTTTTGTGTAGTTTATTTCAACCTAAGTAAAATACTACATTTATTTGAAAGCATACCCATGGATGATTTTGAGCTCTGTTTTGGGCCTTGCTGGCAGCTTCAGTTAATCTACCCAACAACTGGGGAAGGAGGAGATGCTTATTCTCTTATCTTCCTTGTAAACAAAGTAACCCAGAATGTTTATACAAAGTCACAAGGCCAGCAAGGGGTAGAGCTGGGAAGCCTTTGCTCTCACAATCAGGGCAAATTAAGTGAAGAAGGCAGTGAGTGACTTTTGGACATTCCACAAACAAAGGGGAATGTTAGCCATTAGTTAACCAGACAATGAAAGGACCATGTGCTCCAGAGTCTTGAACGGGCCAAACTATTAAGCTGTTCATGAAAATATTACAAATATTTATTTTAAGGCTTATAAGGATAGTTCCCCTTTCTCAGAAGCTGGGAGAAATAATTTGTTTCTTTTTGCAAAGAATTCTCAAGGACATTATGTGTGCAGGGGGAAGAACCAGAGCTTATTACTTAAAAGAGTTATTGTCATAGAGGATGGCTAAAGAAGTGACTTTAGACAGGAGGCTCCTAGCACAGAGAACACAGAGGAACTGGGGTGAAGATTTCCCAGGGGAAGGTGTCCAGGCAGAAACACCCACTGTTCATGTGCTCTTTGAAGGCTGTAGATGTTGAAAAGTTTCTGCACCTGATAAGTCTCTCTGCTGATGCAGCAATCCAAATCAGACCAAATCAAACAGAATTAGAAAAATCCCACATTTAATGGATACAAATTCTGGGATAGCCTTCCAGCTCCCCAGAGAGGAGACAGGAAAGGGAGCCAGAAAAACTGGTCTATTTTCTGGGAGGCAGTTTAAATACCCTGTGGGAGAGACCATCATTTGGCTTTTTGAGATGCAACAGTGTTTGGAGAGAGATAGGGGAGGGGGCTTAGGTTGAACTTCCACCATAAAATCCCAGACTCTTTGGGTATATAGATGCCAGGGGCTGGGGCAAAGCCTCCACCATAACAGATGTAAGCTTCGCTCATTATTTTAGTCATCATTTGTTAAGGAGATAAATGGTGATTTTAGTAATGAACCCATTTCCTTAGATGGATTCAGAGATGGAGTAAAGAACTCTAAGCTTTGGTTTTGTCCCACGAGCTGTAAAAATTGGAAACATGATGTGTGATGAGAATTTATCCTGGTGTCCAAAAGGACACAGAGACGTGGCCCAAGGGCAAAAATACGATGGCAGATGAAAAGCAAGTGTATGTAACTTGGTGTGATAGAGGGGAAATAAAGTGACCCTTGGAGCCGTATAGATGTGAAATCCAATCGTAATTCTGCTATTTCCTTGCCTGCTGACTGTATTATTCCAGGCATAACACAGTTCAAGAAAGTCAGTAGTCAGCTGTTCTTGGGACTGACAATGTAACATGACTTATCAATGCATTGTGTGACCCACTTTGATTGAGTGCATTAGAGAAACACACTCCAGGGACAGGAGTTGCTTCTTTGTTTATGAGGTGATACTCTGTTCTTTTTCATTTTGGAATCAGTCTGGATAGTCCATGTTTGTTTCGGTGCTGGGCTGGTCTGATGTCTCTTTTCTCCTTATTTTCCTAAGTCATAGATTGACATTCTTTTTCAGGGGACATCTCTGCTGGCTGATGGTTAACTACAGTGTCATGAAAGCCATGGACTGCCATCCAAGCAATCTTCAAACTCATTCACATAGAAACTGAGACAGAATAATAAATATCGTTCCTTGAACACTGTGTGTGTGTGTGTGTGTGTGTGTGTGTGTGTGTGTGTGTGTGCTGTTTGCCAGTGGCTGTTCTGAGCTGGATATTAGGAGTATTACTCTGATAGTGCTTCCACCTTCTACCTGGAGGCAGAGTTTTTAAAGCAAGCTCAAAGTCTTCCTACACAGCTAGTTTCCCTAGCCAGCTTGCTCTGGCAACCCACTGTCTGTGCCTTCCAAGGGTGGAACTACGGGTGCCATACCCTTTTGGCATTTGTGTGGCTTCTGGTGACCCAAACGCTGATCCTCTTGCTTTAACCAAGGAACCATCTCCCCAGCCCTGTTTTTACATTTTCTTTTTCTTTCCTTCCTCCTTCCCTGCCTCCCTCTCTCTCCTTCCTTTCTTTCCTTTCTCCTTCCCTCCCTTAGCCCTCCCTCCCTCTCACCCTCCATTCCTTTTTCCTTCTTTTCCCTTCTCCCTCCCTCCCTCCCACCTGCTTTTCTGCCTTCCTTTGTTTGATTTGGGGGGGGGCAGTGTCTCACTATGTAGCCCAGATTATCCTAGAACTCTCTATGAAGGCTAACCTCAAGCTCATAGAGGTCCACCTGCCTTGGTCTGCTGGGTGCTGAGATTAACGTCAAGTGCCACCACAGTTGGCCAGTTATTTTAAGCCACTGAATTTGGGGTAAACTTATTACACTTCCCCAGATAACCAATATTTTCCTATTTTAGTTTTTCAAGATAGGGTTTCTTTATGTAGTCCTGGCTGTCCTGGAACTCACTCTGTAGACCAGGCTGGCCCAGATTTAGAGATCCACCTGCCTCTGCTTTCTGAGTGCTGGGATTAAAGGTGTGGGCCACCACCTCCGGGCTTCACCAATGTTTTTCTAATTCCAATGTCTTATGTATGTTATACTTTTCATCCAATAACTTTCAATTCAACTTTTCAGTATAAAAGAAAAACAACTGTTTTAGAAGTCAAAGCATACTTCAGCTGAAAAATATATAAAATAATTTCTGATAATATATGCTTCTTTTAAAATACTGTTGTGTCTCTGGTTTACTATTGTAGCCAGACATCATGTATAATATTTGATGCTTAATAAGGCATTACATAAACACTGTTGAATGAATGAGTTTGTTTCTCCAGGTTCTCTGATTTTGGAGGCAAAACCATATCTTATTCATCTTTGTATTTCTCTCACATGGTCCTGGACTTAATACTGAACATGTAGCATTTACTCTGTTGAACTCAGTTAAATTGAATTTAACTGAAATTCTTGCTGAAGTAAATGTTCTGGAAGTTCAAGTTAAAAGTCATGACAGAACACTAATTTTAAACATTTATATTGTTCATTGTCTAGGACTGGTTTTCAAGCTCTACCAACAGACCCCCCCCCACATGCACACACATACAGAGGAAACAAGCAAAAATCCCCAGTACCTTGCCCCCTGCCCACAAAACATTAAAGCTTATCATTCACTGTTGGTAAGGTAAGACTGTATGGATGCTTCTCTCTCTCTCCCCCTACCTCCCTCTCTCCTTCCCTTCCTCCCTTCCCCATCCCTTGTGTACATGCATGCATATGAAAGCTCTATGTCCAGTGCCTTTCTCAGTTGTGCACTAGCTTAATTTGTGAGTCACCGTCTCATTGAGCCCTGAGCTCATTGTTTCAGGAAGACTGGCTGGCTATTGAGCTCCACCACGCTCTCTGTCTCTGTCTCCTTGGAGATGAGATTATAGGTACCACTGCCTGGATGTTTTACATGTGTTCCGGGGACACAAACTTAGGTCTTCATTCTTGCATGATTAGCACTTCCACACTGAGCCATCTTCCCAGACCCTGGATTCTTCACTTATTACCAAAAGAGGACATTGTCACATTCATACAGCAACTCTTACACAACCATAAGCAATGGCTGTGCTTAAGTTGTCAACTATCAGGTATTGACCTTGTGGATTGTCTGTAAAGGCTGGGTAACCTGCATTCCTTATGTGGTTAAGACTGAGGCACTTTCAGTAGAGCCGAATTTAAGGAGCTCTGAGAGCCTGAGCATTTTCTCAGTGCAATTCTCTCTCTCTTCAGGAGGAGAGTATTTATCAGTAATTTGAGTGCATAAGCCAGACCTCCTAGGTATGAATTCCCAGCAGATCACTCCGGTCTGTGACTGACTTTTTGGTGGGAATGCATATGAACTTTTTGCTCCACTTTCCTTATTTGGAAAAAATGGAAACTATTAGTATCCATTTCACAGGGCAGTGTAAAGATAATATTGTTTAATAACTGAAGTACTATAACAATATACAGTATAATATAAGGCATATAATAGAATATAAATGAGCCTTTGTTATCTTTTACACCTACCATTGACACTTCAGGCAATGGACAAATCTTTCATAGAGGAATCATTAACTCTCTGTGTGACTGTTTCCGACACTGTTCCTTCTTGTAACGGTTGTCTATGATCACTTATATTTGACTGTTCATTCCTGTGAAGAAACTCAATTAACTCCAAAAGAGTCAGTTAAAAATGCCTTATATGACAGATAATTGTTATCAATGCATGATTACATTGAACTGGGAATTATACTATCCTACATTTCGGAATAAGGGAGGTTTTTGACCTTTCATTTTAACCTTTTCTTAAATGTGAACACGGCAAGAAGTCGTCAAGGACAGAGTAGAGCACCGAGTTCCAGAACTCCGGGCTAGTGGAAATCTCAGAAAGATAGTTAGAAAGACTATTCTAACTTGCAAACTGGGCTGAACTTTGCTCTCTGGGCTGTAAGCAACACTTGAGGGTAGAGGATCAGAGGGGCATCTAGACTTTCTATTTCACCTGGTACGATGTTCAAAGTGTGAAACGCCAGGAACTATTTCAAAAGTGCACAGTACTAAGAAATAACACAATTGGGACGGCTTTGTGGCAAATATCCTTCTTTGCCTTGCAAACCTTCAGCTTATTCCTCCGCTTCTATCCCGCATGGGTCGACTGTTCCAGTTTCCATGAAAAAAAAAAAAAAAAAAAAAAAAAAAAAAAAAGGCGATCCAGTTGGAACCTCTGGTCTAGTCACAAGGCCTTCTTCCCTTGTTGCTATGAGGTAGAGAAGACAGGAGAAGGACAAGGAGCAGAGCAGCGCTCTGAGTGGCCGAGCAGTGATAGCGTTCACTGCCAGGGTCCTGCCTGTTCCGTTAATTGCCCCCGCCCCCGCCCCGATCGGCTTAAAAAGCTCATAGTTGCACCCAAGTCCCCAGTCAAGAGAACCGCAGGAAGGACCGCGATGGGCTTGGGTGACTACAGCCACTGCAGACAGCGGATGTCCCGGGGACTCTACGGGGTCTCTGGCAGGGCTGCGCTGTGGTCCCCAGCTTTTCATCCCATGCACCGCATCCCTTGCGGCACCTGGCGCATTGAGGCTCAGGAGCAGGCCCGGGCATCCAGCCCGGTACTGGAGCATCTCCGGCGACAGCTGGAGCGCGCTTTCCAGCGGGCGGCGGCACGAGGGCGCGCCAGGCGCGCGCGGGAGGCGGTGGCAGCTGTGGCGGCGGCCGCAGCGGCGGCGCGAGAGGAGCGGACCCGGGCGCGCATGGAGTGCGCGCTGGCTCGGCTGCGCGCGGAGCTGGTGAGCACGGGCTGCGTGGCGGGGCTCGCACTCCTGAACCCAGTCCTTCACTCAAAGCCAGGGCTTAGCTCATAGGAGGACGGGGGCAGAGGGTGTCCCACAGGCTGGGGGATCCTGGGCATCTGGTTTCCTCTAGACTCAGTGTTGAGGCCTCCTTGTGTCACAACTCCACAGAGCAGAGCTTGGCCTACAGTCCAGGGACTGGCCCAGACTCCAGGAGTCCCTCCCCAGTCTGTGTCTGCAGTTTTCTATCCTCTAGTCTAGAAGCATCTCCATAGCAAACTCTTAGTCTATGTATGTTTGGCGACATACAAAACTGTATGAAACCCACAACCTAGATGGATAGATAATGAATCCACCAGAAATTCTTAAGTTATGCCAGTTATTTTTATTTTATTCCTTGCTAAGAATTCAGAAAACAACTGGGCGTTTAACAGGAAGGAGTGTGTGTAGATACTTTAGATGACTTTTATGAAAAAAAAATTAAAAACAATTTGAGAAGGACAAAAGTATAAAGAACCCAGCCTTTGAAATGGAGACGTATACGAATGCGGTGTAATGAAGACTTGGAAGTTCTCATTGAATGCGACAACTAACTACTTCAGAACACAGTGAAGAGACCTTGGAGGGTGATTGATTGATTACATTTCTGGTTTTAAAAAGGGCAACATGATAGTAAATCCTACTTAACCAACCATATTAGCGATCTGAATTTGATAAGGAACAAATCATGTTTGATCTAGCGGCATTATGTGGAACCTTTGGTTCCCATTTAGAGCATGATGGTGAGCCCAAGAAGCTGGATGGGGGAAGCTGCCATGTTGTTGGTGAAACCACCTCACTGCACACCAGGAGGTTGGTGCTGTGGGCCAAGATGCCACGCTGGAGTGCCAGGGTCTGGCACATTGCTGAGCTGGGTTAGGTCACCCCTTCCCCCACCTCCTGCTGACTCACGCACAGGTCATGTGGGACAAGCTCAGAGACACCTTTAACCTTAGCATTCCAACAAGTTGCTTCATCAATAGGAGGTTTAGACAAGGAATATATTATGGGTGACAGAAGGTAGAGACTCAAAGGCTCTGCCAATATTTGCAGACTGTTGAGCTTTGAGAGTGTGAATTTGTAGACCCGAGTTTGTTTAGTGTGTAGAGAAAATCTCATGACTGCAATAATTGTATGAGATAATATTATATGACATGCCTAGGCCATATGTGCACTTTTAATTGACTGTTGTTATTTTTATAATTATTATAGATCTTGGAAGCTGATTGTGCCTAAAAGGACACATAAGAATATATCAACAATTGAGAATTGAGCCAAAGAGGTGGCGCTTTAGGGGTGCTTGTGGACAGGCCTGAAGACCTGAATTCAATCCCAGTTGCTCCCACAAGGTGGCAGGAGAAAACCCACCCACTCCTTGATTGGCACACAGGAACACTGTGTGACACATGCTGGCTGTACTCACACATGCAAACACAGACATGCATAAGTAAAGACATGAAAAAAAATTAAAAAGAATTCAAAATTTCTGGATAGGAAGCAGAGAATTTTACACATATTCAGATGCTGTTTTCTTGGAGTGTAGGCCCTGGTCCACATCTTCAGGAACTCCCTAGTCAGTGTGACTGATCATAAGAAAGAAGCAGAGAGTGGATACTTAGCTCAATATCATCGCCACTAGAAGTCGTTTTAGATCTGGGTTGGTAGCTAGATCTCTACGGGAATGAGTATTACCATGTGTAGACATAGTGTACAGGACATGATGAACAGTCAATCAGTCATGTTGTTACATATATTAAGTTATGTTTAGCTTACTAAAGTGTGACATTAATTTCTAAGTTCTTTGACTGGATTTCTGGAGTTAAACCTAAAGTTTTCTATATATAACCCCCCCTTTATTTCTCAGCGAAATTTTGGAACTTTCATCGGGCTCTCAAAGGGATCCATGATGAAAGAAGTTTAAAAACCACACATGTTTGTATTTCCCAAATAAGTGTGAATTACACACACTTCATGTAGATGGGTGAAAAATTAGCAGTAGTTTTACCCCTTGATTTGTGGCATGAAAGTAGAGGGCAGACATCCATCACCTCATTGATTCATGCCTCCATTCACTAAGTCTTTTAACAAAGATACTGAGACCCTACTATGCAAGCCTAGGCAACACACACATAACTGAGAATGCAACCATTAAGAGTTCTGCCTTCAGCAGCACCAGTCTAGTGCAGTCTGTGTGTCACCAGACCCATGTAAATGGAATGCAATGGAAGCATGATTAAGAGGCAACAATGCCTGGCCATGATTACAGGAGGCTTTTCAGGAACTACTGATGTCTGTTTGCATTCCATGGAAAGAGATGTAGCAAAGTGCATTCTACTAGAGGGTTGGATGGAGGTATGTCTCGGCACAGCAATGTCTCAGCACAGCATTCCCTTGGGACTGGCAAGGCGTCCAACCACCTGTGATAGGAGCTGGCATGGAGACAGTGCTAGGAAATGAAGCTAGAAAAGCAGGGCAGGAGTCTAGAGCCTGAGTAACACATCAGAGGACAGCCTTCTGGTAGATTATTTGGGGCTTCTTATGGCAATGACTGTGTGATTTGTTTCTGTTTATTTGCTGGGTGCCTTGGATGTCTGTCTCCTTTAACATTTCCAATTCTTGTTTACAGAGAAGTAGTTCCAAGTGCAAAGAATAAAGAATAAGCATCAGAGGAAAATGAAAAGATACTTCTGCCTGATATTTTATTTTGCAAGTTGAGGAGGAATCACCAATGCAATAGTTGCAGTTTACTATTACAGTGCCCTGGCTTACCGTGAGGGCTACTGTTGATGAGATGATAGAGGATGGCACTCAGAAAACATAATTTTACAAACTGCATGAAGCATGACTTCAATTGATGAACTATGCAAACAGTTGATCCTTAGTTTTAGGTTATAATACAGCTGGGCCAAACTGTGTGAATTGCCTCCTAAGTAACCTGTCCTTGGAGATGTCATTTTTAAAATTTTATTTGAACACATGAGGGCCTCATAAGCTCCCATTGGAGGAGGTTATGAGTAAGTCTTGCTTTGTTCTAGAGTGAAAAGTGTTAGATTATGTAAGGACATATAACTATACATGTGCCTCTGAGGTGTCCTTATATGCTTTTACTCAGCAGGGAGGCCATTGAAAATCCTGAAAACTCAAAATGACAAGTAATCAAGTAAATGGACCCAGACCCCAACACTCATGTGGCCCCAGGCAGTTATCCTGTGGCTCAGAAAGCTCATAAAGATAAATGATTTCACTGTGTTCACTAGCCATTCCTTGAGAACAGCCCTCGGTGCGTCGGTATTTTTCACATGGACAGCTTTGTGCATCAGCTATTTTTGTTTTCATTTCAAGGCCATTTCAAAAGCTATTTATTTATCTGGGTTTTTACCTTGTTGTAGAAAAAGCTACTTTAATAGCAGGAGCCAACAGTCAGAAAGGGAGAGTAAGTTGAGAAACACATCTTTCTTTCTGTCTCATTTTCCTTGCCTGCCTGCTCTTTATTTCTCATGTGCAGCCAGAGAGCAGTTTCATTCAATATATATCTCAAACTAATAAAATCCCTTCTTCTCCTTATTATTGTTGTTTTCTCCTAGCTGGAATTGCGTCTGCAGAACCATCAGCTGGCCCGAACATTACTGGATTTAAACATGAAAATGCAGCAGCTGAAGAAGCAGCAGGACCTGGAGCGAGCATCCAAATCTCAGAGCCCAGAAGATGATGCGATGGATTCCGAGTGTGGAAATGCATAGTGGAAAGCTTAAGCCAGCAGCCCCCACAGCAGTCCTGCCCCTCACCATAACATAGGCGGCTCTGAAACCGTTCTAGTATTAACATGAGCAATGATGTATGTGCACTCTGAGGGACATCCTGCCAGTGAAAACTTAGGTGTAAGGAGGAAGTGGGGGAGGGGGGAGAATCATAAGAAAGGGAGAGAGACATTTTTGAAGTTTAAATAATATTCATTCACTGCTTTGACTGGTTATTATTTTAGTGGGAGAAAGGGAAAAAGGGTGAGGAAGAAAGAAAGAGGAAGGAGAAGAAAAACCAAAGTATTACAGATTGCCTTACCGCCAGCTTACAACGTTACACATAACCTTATCACCTTCTTTTTTTTGTAGTTCTGTGTGGACCTGCAGAATCTGTGCTTGCTTTTACTGTATTTATTTTTGGCCCATCTAGTAGTGGAGTCAGTACTCTTCTGACCTGTGAAATTGAGAATTACTAGTGTCTGGATTCCAGCCATTCCCACAATGTGGCCTGCGTTAAGGGTGTCTCAGCTCATGTAACTGCAGGCCTTGCTGTCATTCAAATCGGAAATACATAATTATTCTCCTAAAATCTCTTTCCTCAGTTGATTCAAGTTTGAGTTTCATGTTATACACCCCCAAATTCCTAACTAATATAGTTCTTTTGTTCAATTAACTTAGGAGTTAAAATGGTTCTTATTGTTGAATTAAAAGATCTAATTGTGTCCTAAAAGTGCTTTTCAATGCAAAAGTAAAATTAATAAAAGTAGCTGCAGACATAATTGGTGCTCCTAATTGTTATTATCTATGAAATTACGCCAATGTGTGTTATGTTAGTTGAAATTAATTCTTAAGAGAAAAGAGAACAGGAAGGAGGTAGCATTTTTTTTTCCTTAAAAAACAAATGCAAGGATTGACAATATACCTTAGCCCGTGAGTCCCTGGGTTCAAACCCCAGCATGCAAAATAATTTAAAAAGAATAAAAGAAGAAAAACAACTGTGGGCAAACATTGAAGGACTATCTGAATCAAATTTAGTCTGTTTTCAGTTCTTTTTGCCAGTAACTATTCTAACACCTTTGTAATTAATCTCTCTTCTCTGTAAGACTGAGATTCACCTTGCAGACATTGTCAATTGAGTAGTAGGTGGTGCCCACTGGCCATTGGATTCTTTGAGGTTCTCTGATATAATCTCTTGGCTTTGTGTTGTCGTACCCAGACTCTGAATCCCCCTCCCCAAACCACCAGGAGACCAGATGCAAAAGCAAAGAATCTTTTTAATTTATGAGTTTATTCTCCGTCTGTCCAACACAGCGGGAGGAGGAGGAGGGACCCTGAGCAGCAGCCGGGCAGGGCATATATTGGGGGTAGAGCAAGGGGTGAGGGGGGTGGTTTTGCTAGTTGCATAGTAACAGTCTCAGGATTGGTGCACCTCTGGGCTCAGGAACCTGTCCTGAGTTGATTGGTCCGCTGCAGCTGAGAGCCATTGCTACCTACTGCATTCCACTATTATCAGTTAAGCACATGCAAAGCCTGCCAGCAAACTTCTGATTGGTTCCTTACCACATGGAGTGTATCTGGCGACTTATTCCCAGTAGTTAGGGCAAGGTCCAGCAAGGGGAGAGGATTTCAGTACATTGTTCTGAGTCAGGGGTCTACATATTGCCGGGTCTTTTCTATAGCCTGTCATGGCTGCCAAAGCAGGGGGCTGGGTGAGGGTCTGGGTCCTTCAGTTTGTGTTGGGATGCACGATGTGTGGCTGCTTGCTTGTTGTTCACGTGTGTGGGTACAGTGGATAACCTCGGGTGCTGATCTTCCCCTCACCACGTTGTTTAAGACAGGGTTTCTTTTTTGCTGTAGGTTCCTGTCTCCCCACAGAGTCACACTGAGATGGTAGACACACGTGCTACTACATCCAGCTTTGGGTGTGTATTCGAGTGTGTGTGTGTACACACCAGGCTTGTGCTGCAAGTGTGCCTTTACCCACTCAGCTATTGTCTTCACCCAATAGTATAGAAATTTTGAGAAAAAGAGTTGTTGATATTATTTGTTTCTTTTTAAAATTTCAACTTAAGTAAAAGGAACAGTCATTCCCAAGTACTTCATTGTTAAGGCTAACCTTTTTTTTAATTAGTTAATTAATTTTTAATTTAAAAAATTAAATTTTTTTTTCGAGGTAGGGTTTCTCTGTATTGTTTTGGAGCCTGTCCTGGAACTCACTCTGTAGACCAGGCTGGCCTTGAACTCACAGAGATCTGTGCCTGCCTCTGCCTCATGAGTGCTGGGATTAAAGGCGTACACCACCAACACCTGGCTCTCTTTTTAATATTTTTATTTTATGTGCATTGGTGTTTTCCCATGGGTGTTGGGTCCCTTGGAGCTGAAATTACAGTCGTAAGCTGCTGTGTAGGTACTGGGAATTGAACCCAGGTTCTCTTTCTGGAAGAGCAGTCAGTGCTCTTAATCACTGAGCCACCTCTCCAGCCCCAGGGTTAATCTTTATAAATCATCTGAATAGTCATTGTATAAGCTTGAGTCCTTACAGAATGCAGATGGTTGACATTGGTTAGTATTTAGCCACGCAATCTGGTTCTATTGGTAATGCATACTGACATAAAAGAAAGAAAACCTGAAAGAGAATTTTCAAAATCATCAAATTGGTTCTTACATTGTTAGACAAAGAGGATAAAGTTATTTTATTGTAAAGTCTTGTCACAAACTTCCCCTGCCCCTTTAGCTTCAAAGATAAGCAATGGTCCACTCTGCCTTTTTTAGGGGCCATAGATGCAGAAGCAGAATAAACTGTCTCAAAGATGTCTTCTTTGTGGAAGTCCTAAACAGCAGAGTTAGCCTTTGGTTTTGGTAGTGCAACATGAAAATACAATAGGAGCTTGACTCACAGGGCACTCTCATCACATGCTTCTGCCCTAAATACCACCCACTTTTTTTTTTTTTAAATAGTAACAGAAGGTATACAATTGCTTTCCTGCCTTTTCCTTGCAATGATGCACAGCTGTGTGTTGTTGGCTTGCTGTAACGTCATTGCACAGTGGAACGAGACTATTGGGAAGTCATCAGGGAAACTTTTCTAAGAGGTGTGAGGATGGACCATCTTTCTGGGGTTGAAAAATAAGCCAGGGCTCAACAGAGTGACATTTTAAAGATGCACATGATGGAAGCAATGGAGACTGCGCCAGCTGGAGGGGAAAATGAGAGAATAACTATCACCCAAACGAGGCAGCGGGGAAGAAGCACCTGAAAAAGCCCAAGAAAGGACGAGGTTTACAACCCGGGTGGAGAGAGGGCCCAACAGGAGTGATACTAAAAATGAGTTTGTGGGTGAAAATACGGTGCTTGGGTTCCTCAAATGGTCCACATTAGCAGGCAATGGTCTCTTACTCCATGCTAACCCCAGTCAGTGAGAGGCACCAAATGAATTAAGACAATTAGGAGTTTTGCACAGGTTGTTAGGCATCACATTCCTTTACAGGTGGTCTGCATGAATCACATTTTGTTTGGTTTGCCAAACTGCTTCTGCTGGAACAGGTGCTGCTGTAGGGCCCAGCCCGGGGACAGACGGATGTGCCGTGGAGAAGCTCAGGAGAGCTGAGCCTGCACTAGTGTAATTACAAGAATCCTCTTTCCCTTGTCCCTTTCTGGCAGGGTCTAGTGCCCAGCACAGTCATCAACTCTGTTGATTTACCATTGTAATCACAGCAGACTCCCTCTGGGCTTGGGGCCTGGCACAAGGATCTCTAGTGCCAGCTGCTTTCTCTCTTGCTTGTGTGGTTGCCGTCGCTGCCAATGCCTCTTTGCTCATGCTTTTAATGAAGGTTAGGGTCCAATGAGAAATAATGTGGTTAGGTTTAGGGGTGAAGCTGGACTACTGTGCCTACCTCAGCATCTTGAGCTCACTGAACAAAGTTGGGTTGGGGGGGGGCGGTAAAACTCCAGGCTCAGTGAACTCTCAGAGCAGACCATTCAAATTCTTTGGATGCTGCTGAATGCTCTGGGTTGAGATGCTCCACTCCTTCAGGAGTCGGAGTGCCACCATCTGTCTCTGCTGGACTAGTGTAAGAGGGATATGTCCAACGTACAGACAGTAATGAAACTAGCAATGACTTCAGCCACCACTAGCGGACTAGCCTTTGTGCCAAGGACTGCATTTGTGTTATCTTATTGAATCCTCGAGTGACTTGTAGGGCCCGTTGGCAGTACTGTCTGACCCTGGTGGGTTATCTTAGCACTGCCATCACCAGGCATATGCTTCCAGCTTATTAGTTTTATCTAAAATATCCAATACAACACTTTGCTAAAATCTTGAGGAGACTACACTGAAGGGCTTGCATTCATTGTTTTATTTCTGTTGTTGTGATAAAACACCCTGGTAAAAAACAATCAAGAGAAGAACAAATTTCTTTAAGCTTACAATTCCAGGTTGTCCATCGTAACAGGGATGTCAAGGCAGCAAGAATTTACAACAGCTAATCACATCACATCCACAGGGAAGAGCAGAGAGACATGGATACAATCATGCACATGCATGCCTCCTCCATTCTCATACAATCTGGTACCCAAATCCAGGGAACGATGATGCCTGTAGTGTGCTGGGTCTTTTCATATTAATTAATAGAATCAAGACAATCTCCCAGCTTAACCTGATTTGGATAATCCCACATTGATATTCTCTTCCTGGCTGAGTCTAGATGGTGTCAAATTTACAATTAAAAACCACCATCACAGTGTAGACCCTGGAAGTAAGTGTATGTGTGCGGTGTGTGTGTGTGTGTGTGTGTGTGTGTGTGTGTGTGTGTGTGTGTGTAAGGCCAAAGTTGGGTGTCCTCCCCTATTGTTTTCTGCCTTAGTTTTAAAAACAAGATCGCTCACCAAACCCAGAGTTTAGTAATTTGGTTAGGCTGACTGACCTGCAAGTCCTAGAGTGCCCTCTGTGTCTGAACAAGACCCTGTCCCTTCTCAGGTTACAAACATGTACATGCTGTCATGTCTCATTCTTACATGGGTGTTAGGAGCCAGAGTGCAGGTCCCCAGGAGTGTGTTGCAAGTCCATTACTGACTGGACCATCTCCTCGGGCCCTGATTTTGAAGGCTTTCTGCTGGAGGATCCTTCTACTTCTGTGGATCTTTTCTT